CGTCAAGAAAGGGATATATAACATTAATATGGAAAAATAATTAAACAACATAGACTCTCTTATAACTAAAAAAAACCCAATTTTATTCATTGATTCTTGATTTATAATAACATTTCCCAATTCTTTCTTGATTTAAACTCATCCACCAGAGCGTTCTCTGATCTCTCGGACTCCGTTTTATCAACAATGACAACATCATCAACAGCACAGACACTTGTGGTAATTATAGATGTTGAAATATGGATTTTTTTCAAAACGGCTTATATTAAGTTTTTTTGATATATATGAACAGTACATGTGCTGGGATTGACAAATATGCATTTTATCTGGATTTTAAAGGAGTTTTGAGCTCCAAACCCCAAGTGTCTGTGATCAACAGTGGTTGAAGAAGTACACTTCTCTATCTCAATGACTTAAGATCTATTGGTATCTGAAGGTGTATCTGATACTTTACTTGATTCACTTACGTTTTTCTTTTGAAAAGCCATGATATTGTTGGAGTCGGACAATTTAATTTTTTTGTGTAATGTGTCCAGTTATGCGACATTTTGAACTTTGCCGTAAAGCGCCGGTATACAAAAACATATATGTTGTAAAAATTTAGTTACAGTTCTACTAATGAAAACGATTTAGGTACTCGAAATTATTAGTTAAACTTCGTACAATAACTTACCTTTGTAGCGGTAAAATAACCGTAAATATCTTTTTACATCTAAAAATAGATTTTTGGTTTTTTACTAGAGTTAAGGTCATCTATTTTTAGCTTTTGAAAAAGTACAGCGTCATGTTTCACGAGACAATGAAATGTTAACAACTATTATGCATACCCCTCTAGGGTATAATACAGTATGTTGCGTCATGCCTAGCGAGTCAATGAAATTCTATACGATCAATGTGCACACCCCTCTAAGCGGATATTAATAGGTCACGGTTTATTTTTACATACAGGGATTTCATGTTTTCAACGCTGTTCGGAAGAAAGATCGAAGAAATCTTGAATATTTTCCTTTTTTTTTCTGTTAATTCAGTTCTTAATTCTGCAGGGGATTTTCAAGCGATTGGGGAAATTTTAGGACCAAATTGGGGAAAAAAAGAGGCTAGTTTGGTTGGGGAAGTAGCCGATATTCGGCGTCTTTAAAGAAGGGTTTTTTGGCCCTGTCTCTCATGTACAGACTCAATCAAACCGAGTCTGCAATTCTTATGTAATTTTGTTGTGATAAATGCTTCCGAGGGATCACTTTGTTTCCAGAATTTTTTACATGTAATGAGGTAAATTTCATTACCATTGAGACATTTTAATTCATGTACCAGTTTTATTTATAACAAAAATAATTTGTTTCTACATGTTATCATATTTTTGACGCTAAACGCCTAAACGTTTTTCGCGCTTTTTATGCGTGTTCCGTTATGACGTCGCTTCCGGTAATTTTATTATGTTTTGCACTGATGAAGGCATATAGCCGAAACGTATGCAATAACTTATTACTGAATGTTCGTGTTTATGTTTCTATCATTTAATCGATAGTCGGACCAACGTATTTTGTGGTGATTTTTTCATCCTGTTCGATAAGTGTAGCCACTAATTTATGTTTTTTCTTTAATAGCTTGTTAGTCCTGCCTCCAAAATGTCTTGGTAAAGCATGGGCAAGTGTAACTTTCCACTGTGAGAGTTTTGTGTTTGTGATTCCAGTGTCGCTGGAATGAACCAAATTACTTGTATATTGTCATGCATCCAGGACACTCGATAGGCTTGTTAGGCCAAAAAAGGCCTTTGTTGAGCGGTACATTCCCTACTTTCATCCCTATCAGCCAAAATTACATCAGCCATTCTGAAGATGATAGGAATCATTTATATGTATTTAGTAATACATTCAATATGGAAATTAGATAAAACTTTCATATATTAAACATCCAGCTTGAAATCTTTTATTTTATTGTTTTCGACGTGTTTTGCCTTCTAAATTCCCTATTGATTCATGAAACATAACTCTTAGAAATCCTGAAATTAATGTATTTACTCCAAAATATATTTGTTGCATATCGTGGACAATATAAAATTTCAAGGACTTATCCCATTGTTAAAAACTTATTTCGAGGAACTGACTTGGAAGGGCATGTGCAGGACTGCAGAAAGAGCTCATTTTCTTTTATGTTGCCAACATAATGGCCACCACAGTCATGTTGTGCACACAAAATCCATTTAAAGATAACAAATTCAAAATATTACAATTTCCGTTTTCTTAGATAATTAATACAATTACAATTTTAAATATTTATCTAATTTACGATACCAAACAATGGAAATAAATACACACGTATTGCAAACAAATACAACAACCTGCATCTGGACAATACAAATTTTCAGAGATAAATTATGCAATATACAACACGAAAATAATTTCTTTTGTTCTATGCAATAGTCAATCCGTGTCAAATTAAGTTACAATATATATGTATTTTAATTTAACATTGTAAAATACAATTATATATGCAAAAGGTTGTTGTTGGTTTTTTGTTTTTTTTTCGCTTGCGGAAAAAAAACTTACTCACAATGCGAAAAAACAAAAAACATCGAGCTTGTCCCATTTTCCCCATTTACATCTGATACACGATACATGTGCGTAGCAAAAAAATAGTTCTTAAGTATTTCTAACTAAATACAATGTTGTTTTGTGAATGTTTAGCTTTGTATGGATCTGTTTCTCAACACCATTATGTAGGAAACAAGACGATAAACAAATTACTACTTTATACACTGTTTGAAATGCTTGTAAACAAAGTGTAGGGATATTTCTCTAAATTTAGCTGTTTATGCAAATGAGGAGCCGTTCGGAAGTTTCCGCCAAACATCGGAAGATTTCCCGCGCTTTACGGGCATGTGACTACCAGATAGCGTGGGTATTCTGACACCAAAAAAATAACTCTGAATTACTTTCAGCGATTTCCATATTACCAATAAGTAAAACTACGATAGAATCATTTTTTCTCTTTTATGACTGATTAATTTGTGTAATTTTTTTTCTATATATTATGCACTTACGCATGAATATATAGTATTTCATCACTGCGTAAGAATCGGAAATAGTTCCAGACCCTGAGAAAGACGCCATTTTATGCAAGACCGGAGCGGAAAACAACAGAATATTTTTACGGTAATTTAGTGTTTTATTAGTTTTCTGAATGTTGTATTATTTTTCGCTATTATATTAATGTTTTTGTAGCAGTGTATGTGAATTTATACTGTTTTTGTTGTTTTCAAAACCATTTATTAACGTTTTTGTTTAAAAGTCTGTGAATTTTCGCGAGGAATGATTTTCTTCATGCTTAGAAGACTTGTAGATCTAGTGGAATAGACAATCTATGTTAAATTAGAAGTAATATATTTCAGATAATTCTGTATGATTACTGTGTGAAACCCTTTTTTTCGTACGTTCTCTTGCGAGTTCATCATCCGGTTTATTTCAGTCACTTTATTGCGAGCATATCCGGGATAATTCAACATGTATGGTCTCTTGCATTACCGGAAGTAGACCCTGTTAGTACACATTGAATACCTATCAATAATTTATGTGCATTTTCACATAATTTTATTTCTGTGTGAAAAAGTCTTCATTGTTTTCTGTGAAAGAAAATAGTTCCTTGTATAGTAGAACTTTGATTAAATTTGACATTTCCAACTATGGAGACATCTTTGACGCTTTACTTTGAATTTTATTGAGCAAAGATATATTTTTAGGGGAACAGCGCTTAAATTCTTCGTGAAGATATTTAATGCGGCTGCTTATTTCTCAGACTGGTCTTGCGACATTAAGCAATCTGCATCTTGCAAGGTTGAACAGTCCGCATTTTTTCTCTTGTAAGCGTGAATCGTTGAGAACAGTATGTTTCCAAAATTGTAGAACATTAAAAAAAACACATTCAAGATATTAAAAATGAGCGTAACTTGCTTGCAGCGGATGTTATTGGCTTTGTCGAGACAAAATTACAATCTCCATTATCTGAGGACTATGATATTGATGGATTCTACAATTTGTCATTTTCATTTGAAGAAGCGTCTCATGGAATAGCTGTTTATATAAAGAACAGTTTGAAATTTGATAAGTGCTTGTGCTATACATGCTTTAGCATTGAATGCCCTCTGTTATGCTGCAAAGACACTGTACTGGGGTTTGTTTATTGTCCTCCTGGATGTGCTACAGTCTCAAACATCTCGCAGTTCTTGCGCAGTCTGTTAGATGCTATAACTTCTCTATTCCATTTAACACAACAGAACATAATTTTGATTGGGGATTTCAATTATGATTATGAAGACAACAAACGTATTGCTAGGCTTTTTCAAGAAACTTTAGGCTGTGTCCAGCTGATAAATGTTGTCACTACTGACTATAACAGCTGTCTAGATCACATTTATGTTACATCAAATAGTAGTGTAGTTGGGTCTGGTACTTTAGAATCGTGCTATTCTGACCATAAACCAGTATTTATTGTATATGAATCATACTGTTAGTATTGAGACAGTAGAAAGATAATTTAATTGTTAGCATCAGGTAAATCTCGCTTACCTATTGCAGTTCTAATAAGAAAAGATTTATTTCAAACACAGATTCATAATACATGACGTCATAATTATGTATAAATATAACACTTTAAGAAAATATGTCTGGAATAAAGCCTTCATCAAGCAATAATACACTATATCATAATACGTAAAGTTCTGCCACTGTAAATCAGCATGAATTTTGAAAGCAGATTCTTTAGGTTACATTGACTATGGAGTTAAGAAAATATGTCTGGAATAAAGCCTTTATAAAGCAATAATACACTATATCATAATGCGTAAAGTTCTGCCACTGTAAATCAGCATGAATTTCGAAAGCAGATTCTTTAGTTTACATTGACTATGAAGTTCGAATCAAGATAACTTGAAGCTTAACCTAAAATTATTTGTTACAGAGTAAGGCTTTTTTAAGTCACCAAAATATATTTCACAAGCCTGATAAGTAACCTTTTTGTAAACTTCATGAATCTAGATGTCTTTACTCCTTAACAATTTTGCATTGAATATGTTGTATGTATATATGGTTTGTTAATAATATTTGTGCGTTTTCACTTGTTTCAGGAAGATGAACAGTCACAGAACCAGTACCCCAATGGGCAACAAGTTCAAGGGCAAGGTCGTTGTGAGGAAGCCCGTGTTTGAATATTCATCAAATGGAGAGGACAAGCAAAGCCTCGCGGTTGGCATATCAACGGGGGAGAAGCTGATGAAAGTCATCTGTTACAAGAGAGATGCATTTACGAAGCTTGTGGTGAATCAGGACGTGATCTTATACAACGTCATATCCAGGACAGAAAATGGGGTTGAAATTCTTGTTGTAACAAGCAAGAGCAAGGTGGGCATGACTGGTGGACTGTTTGTGCCCGAAGATCATCGGCGCTGTCTGGAGGATATGCTGAGTGACAGGGATGCAGAGGTTGTGCCTGTCACGACAGCACTTCAATCCCCGCCAAAACACAGGACCAGCATTGCTGGAAGGATTGTAAAGGTAGGTTAAATGTTTATATACCAATACTATATTCCTATATCATTGATAAATAAACTTGAATGGTAAAATTGATGAACCTTCTCGTTGAAAGCATTGCTTAATAACATATTAAATCACTCACAGTGATTTTTTACCCAAAATTTACAGCCTGTATTAGGCTGCTTCCAAATTCCAAAAACCCTCCATTTTCCCCAAAAATTGGTCAATTTTTCCCAAAACAGACGTCATTTTTCCCAATTGAAATGAGCTAGAAAAATTTAAAAGGCTACTGCAGAATTTCTGATGAAAATTGCCTTTCTTATTTGCTTAATTGATGAAATCTTAGTTAAATAGAATGAATTTCAACACTACATTTTGTTTTCATACGCTAAAACTTAAAAGAATTAAAGATTTAAGTTCATTTTTCCCAATTTAAGGTCTTATAACGCTTATTTTTCCCAATTCAAATGCCACAGGCTTTTCTCTGCATTTCTGAGATTCTGGCAGGTTGGGTGGTTTCGGCCTGGAATGCTGTTACACCAGAGGTTTCCTGAAATCACCTTTCCTGTTCAGCCTCATATAACCAAAACAGTGTTGGTGGGCAATAAAACCCAACTCTATCTTTCTATTTGGTTTCAGGAGGAAGAAACTGCAGAGCGCCTGGTCGCTGGCCGCTCAACGGCAATGAAGGAAATAACGATTGAGGATAGTTCTGGAAGAGCCAATGTCGCACTGTGGCGCAAGAGCACTGAGTACGAGATATGAAAAACAAGATCAACAAGGAAAGGCGGCGTTCAATGAACGCAACCCCCATATGACCCAGCAACAAGAACCAATGGCAAGGAGCCCGAGGCCCGCGTAGGTGACCATGTCAATGTCACCAACCTAGTGATTAATAACTATCGAGGCCAGGTTAGCCTTAGCGGCACTGGCCAGACACTTGTGAAGGTAGTTTAACAGTTTATCATTAATAATTTAATGATTAATTTTCTCATTAAAATTAATGTTGAATTGTTCAATTATTAACATGTCAATTATAGATATGCAGCCTGTCAAATTTGGCTTCTTTTTAAATGAGCTGAGCTATTCGGGCACCTTTTTATAAATTTTATTGAGAATCAGGTGCTCTTAGGGGATCAAACACATATTTGGCTAAGATTTAGGAGCCTCGTGCTAATATCAGTGGTGTAGAAATGTTTTTGGAGTAGCAAGTGTAATATTGTTGTTGTTAGTGATATAATGTTTACCAAACAGTGAATAACTTGCATACATGTGCAAACATTACGAAACATAAATTATGCATTCACTTATGTAACCCATGCTACATTACTAGGTTTCCGAAGCACCTGTTGAAGTGGAGTCAGTATCCGTAGAAGGTATAGATATAGAGGATGATTATGTAACCTTGTTCTTGGAGGACGACCGTGATCTGAAAGTCCCTGCTGGCTTGCTGGTGATTGCAATGAATGGACAACTGGTTTGTATATTTTTTTTGCTGCAAAAATGACAGTCAGATTGAATGTCGAGTAGCAGAAAGCTGAAACATTAAGGTAGCGCATTGAGTTTCAAAGTGGGTGGAGGGTGGTAATAAACATTACCTGAAAAGAAAGAGTTTCAGTTCCAAACCAAATATGCCTATGGTATATGCATATACGTATGTATAAGCAATATTATAGAACAGTATGGAAAGTTTACAAACACATTGAGTGAGCACATTATATATTCATTATATAGGAGCAAACTTTATCATTTCACCCGGAGAACACTTGGGAAGAGACTCTTGTTAAAATCTAATCTAAATTCCACACTATGAAGAAGTTACCTTTCAAATTTTATTTCTTCATTATGGTGAACTTGGAAATATCAAAAGTACTCATTATTGGATAGATTAACAACTAATTTTGCATCTACATTCTCTTAATAAGGGTTTGAACTAAGATGTTTTGGGAGTTGAAATATGTGAGTGTGTCATATTATATTTGTTTGTGAACCAGCAAAATTAGGTTTCAAAAAAGTAAAAATTTTCGTTTCACATTCAGCATATTCAAATATGAATGTTTTTCTCTCTCATGGGATACCTGATATTCACAAGAAATTAGGAATTTCAACAAAAAAAAATATAAATGATAAATTACGTACCCCACCCACATGAGAAGCCAATGCGCTACCTTAACATGTTTTGGCCGAGCTGCCTTCCAGGCATAAACTGTTTTATAAAAATCTGGCCATATATCAGCCAGATAAAATAGTTTTCGGTACCGTATGATTTGAATTTTCAGTTACTGCACCAGGTGACCAGTATAACATCCCACACTCATTATCTCTTGACTGCACTATATGCAAACTTTAAAGAATATAGCATTTGCTTATAAGCATTACCTTTAGAATTTTGTGCTTTTCATGATGCAACATTCTTTGCACATACAGCATAGCATAATGTATTTATTAGGTACTGATTTTTGCTGCATTTAATACCCAAATGGGTTTGGTCAATTTAATAACACTGCACAAATGCTCACCATGAGAGGTTGTGTCATATAGTAACAAGGGGCATGGAAAAAGGCGCAAGCGTATGCAGTCTTGTAACTCATTAACAATAACCAAATTACACAAAACCCTGCATTAAAAGTCTATTAAGCTGTCTCAATTTGTTACAGGTGGAGAGCCTGACTAGCAATGGTCCGGTAATGGCGAGAGTACACAGACAGGGGAGTGAAGTTAGCCAGATTGATTTAAATCCCGGTCAGTGACTTGTACAACAAAGTGATACGGAGTGAAACACCTAGTCATGATTGAACAACAGCTCGTGCTGCATTTGTGTGCAAATGTCCTAAGTTGAATATCCAATCACAAACGGTCATTATGGCCTGTTAAACATTTTGAAATACCATACCTGCTAACTTCTATCCGTAGATGGACATACATGGTATATTTGTCATTCTACACCAAAATGGGCTAAATTTAATGCCAGATTACGGTAAATTTCTGCAAGGTGCTGAACCTAGAAAGGGTTTTAGAAATGAATCGTTGTTATTATTTAAACATTTGAAATTTTCATGTGTGTACTTGAAACCTATGTCGTTTTTTGGATGAATAGTACAAAGGTCAAGGTCAGAAAGTAAAGTGAAAGAACTGTCCTCAAAAGGTCACTCTATGGCGGGCGCCAAGATCCCTCTGGGATCTCTTGTTTTTGGGTGCTAACGCAATGTACTCACATTTTAGGTTTCTTTTTAAGCAAACGCCGGCTTGCCCGCGCCAGGTTAAAATTGCCGCGGGCTAGTGATTTTTCAAAGAAGATAGCCTACCGGGCAAGTGAAGTTTTGTAGTTAAAATCCGAGATCAAAGATCTGACTGAACTTGTTACGTCATTGATGATGCGGTCACTCGTGCTGATATAAATTACCTAAAGACATTGAAAGTCTTCAGTGCATTTTACATTCTTACTGAAACTTTAAAAGAAATTTACTGGACAGGAGGGTAATCTCAGATAGGGATGTCATTGTTTAAAATTTTTGTGTCGATATATCTATGTACATATAAAGGCGATGATTCAATATATCAATTCACATGCGTAAATGTCACAGATTGTTGTATCTTCTTGTTTCTACCCAGTTCAGATAGCAGATGTTTCAGAAATATGTGTTCATTCCCATCGCAAACTAAGCATGGTACTCTGCTGACTGTTTGAATTTATTGTTTTGACACATGGGTAAGCATTTCAAAAGAATCGCCATAGAAATAAGTACTTTCATCATATCATGTGTGTTTGGAAAAACAATAATTTGCAATAACTAAATGTGATAGTAGCAAGTTTTAGTTTGTTCTAGTCATTACAATTACTATAATCATGAAAATCATTTCGATGTGTGAAAGTTTATAACTTTTGTCTATGAATCATTTTTGCCATGCGAGATTTGTTCTGTTGTAGTTAGGTATTGTTGCTATATATTGAGTGGTGATTCTGTTGTTAGATTTTGTAATTTTTTTCATATGTTATTTTGTAGGTGAAATAATGTGAAAGATTAGGCTGCAGTTTAAGTGACATTAGCCCACTATCCTACCGGATGGTTGGCTCATGAAGTCGCTTTTTGTCCGTGGTCCGTCCGTCTGTTAACAGTTCGCTTGTTATTGTTACTACTCAGAAACCACCGGGTGGGTTTTGACCAAACTTGGTCAGAATGTTTCCCTATTAGTCTAGTTGGTCCAAACATAAAATGGGGCTGATAAGTCAAGGTCACAGTGACCCAAAATATGTTAAAATCTAGTTGCCTATAACTTGAGATCTATATGTCCTAGAACTGTCAAACTTCAAAGGATGATGGACCTTTGCTCCTATAGAGAAATATTGTCTGGACTCGCTTCACATGTGTAATACCAAATGAATGACCCTTTTTCATTGCTCAGCAAAAAAGTCTGCATAGTACTATATATACTAAAGCAAGGGTGCAGGATTTTGCAAAGCTATCTTAGTTTTGTTTCATCATGTATGAAGAGTTGGGTACCGTTGGCAACCAAACTGTATGGCACCATTAACCGATACAAACAAAACAACGCAGTATACTTAGCTCATCTTGCTCATCTGTCACAAAGTGACAAGGTGAGCTTTGTGATAGCATGATGTCCGTCTGAGTGGGTGTGTCAACAATTTCTTCAAACAACATCTCCTAAACAAATAGTCAGAATTTGATCAAACTTTATTAGGACCTTCCTTGCATTAACCTGTACAAAAATTGTTCAAAGAATTGTATTCCATTGAGAACTCTGGTTGCCATGGCAACCGAAAGGAAAGAAACTTTTAAAGATCTTCTTCTATTGAACCATAACATCTAGAGCTTAGATATTTTGCTTGTAGCATTGTCTAGTGGACCTCTACCAAAATTGTTCAAATCATTCCCCTTGGGTCAAAATTGGCCCCGCCCTGGGGCTTAATAGTTAAAACATTTAGTTCTATAGAAAAAATTCTCCTTTCTAGGAAAGTATAAGACATATGGCTTTGATATTTGTACCACTTGTGCTACTTTGTTTGCGGAATTGAACTTTCACTTTTGATGACCTTCACCTTGTCCCAATGACCTACATCTGTATTTTTGAAGCTATGGCCTTCAAATTTGAACCACTTGAGATTTAATGACCTTAACCTTCACTCAGAGACCTACTTTACACTTTGAACGCTTTTGCCTTCTCATTTTGACTTAAGGTTGTAACACAGATACTTGCTGAGGTCAAGTTACTTAGGTGAGCGATCCAGGGCCATCATGGCCCTCTTGTTATCGATACTGATACCTTGAGTTTCATTACTGATACCTTGAGTTTCATTAAATAACAAATGAAAATTTGAATTCTTCATTGAAATGCACAATCGTGCTTCTGTAAATCTGTATATCAAAAATACACTGGCAAAATGTATTAGTATTAAATGAAAATAATGCAGTTTTAAACCATTACCATAACAATCTGAACAGACTGGCAAACTGAAATACTTTATTAAAAACAGACAGCTTCTCATGAGAAACTAGTTGAGACCAATTAGAATTAAATGAAAATAATGCAGTTTTAAACCATTACCAAAACAATCTGAACAGACTGGCAAACTGAAATACTTTATTAAAAACAGGCAGCTTCTCATGAGAAACTAGTTGAGACCAAAAATACTTGAGAAAGGTGATGGTACTTTGGCCAAACGGTATTAACTGATACTTTTTCAAGTGATTCTCGATTATACCAATACGATACCAAGTACCGGTACCCAACCCTTCATGTATGAT